ACATCAAAGTATGCTTTGGATAAGTTAAAAATGGAATTAGTGAAGTTTAGAATGTAGATTACTATTTTTTTTTCTTTTTACCTTTATTGCTCCTCCTGGAAGAAATACGGCGTGCGCCCCTGGTCAGCGCCGAGAAAAAGCTAACAGGTGGGCGCGAATCTTTCTTTTTGTTCGCCAGCAATTCGACGTGGGATTCGGGCGACCACTCATATCTGAGCCTTGCCGAGTTTACTCTCAGCAGTGTGTCCCGGCGCATATGAACGTTCGACAACGGTCTCCGTCCAAATCCTCGTTCCGTTCTCCGGGTACACCCCGTCCCCGTGAAAAATTACCCCCCGGTTCGCTTTCCTCAGGGGTATTTTCCTGTTTTTCTCGCCGTGTGGCTCGTCGTTTTCGCCGGTGAAAGTTTTATATGTGACACTTAGCAGCGGATGAAGTAACATGTGTTTTCGGCCTTGTGTCGTTCTCAACCTCGTCTAGAACGAAGTGCTGCCGCTTGCGGAGACTGAGTAGAGGTCTTTCGTGCATTGTTTCCTTTGTTGGGAATGTTGCGTTGTGAGGTATGGGATTCTTTTATCAAGACGAGTTCAGAATTTAGGCTCGGAAAGAAAAATAGGGGGTTATAGTTTAAAAATAAATTTTGACGCTATATTTTTTATAAAACTTCAACACTCTCTTGTAAAGTGAAATGCTTATGGTACTTCATATGGTCTTTTCTTCTTGATAAGAGTCACACCCCAAATGCTATAATAAAAGTAGTCTTAATATAAACAAAAATCGTAGGTTAAAATAATGAATAATCTTGTTAGCCCCATTTTTTTTTGTGTAACAATAATTTTCCAGCCACGGCAATTTCGGTGCAAATTACGCGGATTAGCGGGAAATTAAATAAAAAAAGAACACTTTAAATTAATTTAAAGAGTTGCCGTTGTTCCGCAAAACAAGTTTGTCACCACTGTGGACAGTTTAAAATTATATTTTTGCCCGCTGCGCAATTATCCTTCTAACGAACGCCTCGTAAATTTCAGCGATTTCACGCCGTATCCCGTGTAATTATTTGGCGGCTTTCGTTCGGAAAAGGTTTTTATGGCTCTGGCGACGTTGAGACAATTCCCATAAAGACGGTGCCTTCGAGTTAAACTGTACAAAGTTATAAAATCGAAAACTACCCAGTTACGAATGTTCATCTAGTCTCCTATAATTTAAATTATTTTTCTGCTTAACGTAGAGTCATTATTCTCCAAATTCTGGCTCTAAAATTCTTTGTAGTTGTTTGTAGTAGCGTTTATTTCGTTTGCAGTGTTTAAAATCGTATGTAGTAACGTTTATTTCGCTTATAGTTCCTCAAAATCCAAGTTAAAGTAATTATTTTCCAAACTCTGGCTACAAAATCCTTTGAAATTGTTTGCAGTAGCTTTCATTTCGTTTGTAACTGCATGAAATTCGACATAGTCAATATAATCCAAAACAGGTGTCTAGAATCGTTTGTAGTAACGTTTATTTCGTCGATTACCTTAAACTCCAGTCATAAAATCCTTTGCAATTTGTTTAGTAGTGCTTAAACTGAGATGTATACACTTTACATTTCAAGCAACTTCAAATAAAATAAACGCTACTGCAAAGTCAAAGAATTTTAGAGTTAGAGCTTGCAGAAAAAATGACTACATTATATTTCGAGAAATTACAAAGAAATAAACAAACAGTTTTAGACACCTAACGCCTGTAACTGATTTTGTCTGCAGTTTGGGTATAGTTAATTTTCAAGAAACTTCCGTTGAAGTTAACCGTCAGAACAAGGCTTCATTACTTTTTTTGAGGCTTATTACAAACAAAAATATGTTACTACAAACATCTACGTACCATAATATGCAAGAAAAAAAACTGGATTTTTACATGTCTTATATAATTAACTTATAATAAGCGAACGTAAGTGATATGAACGAGGCTAACGCCTATGCCGAGAACTTCTAGGCGTTTTTATTATAATTACTGCAATTAATCATTATTATAAAGTTATCGACAAGAGCGCCTTGATGTGGTAAGTTTCGTGATGAGTTCGGCTGCGCAGAACTTGAATTCATGATAGCACGGCAATTACGGGCTTTTTTCTAGTCCTCCGGATGGTTTCTTACGGTCGTTAGAAGACCGGGGAAGGGGGTCTCCGCAATGATTTTCCTTTAAGACAATGCGGCGATATGACGAAGTGATAATTTTACACATCTGATTGGTATTAGATACGTGACTCTTATAAAGTTAATATGTATATACACGAACGGATAAGTTTTAAAAATATAGGCAATTGATCACTTGAAACAGCGCATAATTAGTTACTAGTCAATTGACGTGACAATTTTCACACTACGTAGAGTTGTTCTCTGTTTATCGTTTGAAATTTTTGTTTGGACTTACGGATTGTTAAAGCAAAGACAAAAAAGTATTCTATTCGAGCGTCCTGATTTCAATCTCTGTTTCTATGGCTCATTAGGCGAGACAAGCTATATTTTTCATCAACGGATTGTTGAACCGGATTTTTCGGTAAACATATATTCCGCTGTTCTCAATAAAATCGGGGCTTATTGTTTTCAAAACAGAATGTAAATCGTATTCGTTCGATGGGCCCGATTTAAAATGGATTTATGCCGGGCCATTGGATGTTAAATGCTTTTAATTAATTCCAAGGGGACGAAGCAACACGCCAGGGATCGAATTCGAAGATTGAACGGTCGGTCGGATGTACAGGGTGTCCTTGTTTTAACAGCGAAATTGACGAATTGTAGACATTTTTCAACGGATCTGAAGTTATTTTTGTGCGGTCGAGCCTAGATCGATATTTTCATCATTATATGTTATATAGATTAAATCTATATTATTCTGTATTTATTATTATTCTATCTGCCATTTCCATTGCGTGACGTCATATGTGATGCTCTCGAATTTTTCCCTCCCTCGGAAATAAGGTTACTAAGTGTCGCAAAATTTTTTTTGCTAATTACTGAGTATTATGTCCACGAATCGACTAAATTCAATTTATCTCGCACGACCATTATATATAGAGCCGTTCTAACCTACGAAGGTGATCCTGGCGGAGCGAAAAAAGAAACGACACCATTCCAAGGCGTACTGTGTGGTCCATGCCGAATAACAAATAAAAGGGCGTTCTTGCCGTCGATATGTATTCACCGCACGACGCTGGTCTAATGTCGGGCCATTGTTTCGGGAATTCAATGGGAACACTGTCGATGAATACGCTTAAAATATGGTCCTCTCGGTATCGTCGCATTAGCATAATAATAAGGATATATATGTGGACGGGACGGGAAGATGTACGGCATTCGTCTGGCGTGGGCAGGCGAGCCAATTTGGAAATAAAGAGGTGCGCTTATAAAGCGGACGTTAAGATTCGAAAAGTGCGAGAAATTTTTTGAAAAGCTCGTTTAGAGGATTCTTGGCCTTAAACAGCTTTGTTAACCCTTAAGTCGGTATATTTTAGAGCTGGAAATTTAAAACCCTGATAGCTTAGGAGCTGCCAGTAGAAGGTGGCAGCAAAAATGATTGAAAATGTTCTTTATTTTTTTCTAAGCTGATATTTTCAAGCGACTGCAAAACTGGGTTTTTATCGCTCTCGAGCAAGGCTCTGTTGGGGCTTAGGAGGTATTCTCCAGCGAGAATACGGCGTTCTTAATCGTATAAGAAACCTGTAAAGTCAAAGAACGAATAGTACCATGCAATAAAAATCAATTAATCAAAAACGGGTATATTTTTTCTGTGTCGTGTCTAGGTCTTTCAGATCTCGACGTATAAATAATAAATTATCCTTCAAGGTTCAAGCGAGTGATGATATATCACTTCACACTTCTTAAAGAGTTAATTTTCGACCTAATCTCACTTGATGTATCTATAAATCACGCCGTCCAGTTCCCTCTCTCGGTGAAATCTGTAAATCACCACGGTGTATGTACCGATTGTCGTCTGCCGATCTATTCCGGGTCCAGGTCCAGGATGACATGAGCCGGCAATTAGTAATGTCTCTGTCTCGGCCGTATTCCGCGAGGCAGCTGCTGCTTTTGGACTTCCTAGATAAATCGGTCCCCGCTCTGTCGTTTTTGTTTATTTTGATGGCGATTCCCGCTTCCGTATATGCACCTTTGATGTCTGTGATTACAGCAAGTGCAGGGTCGATTCGACTTCGTCGGTAATTTACGGACCTGTCGGGTCCTTGCAGATGATTTTTGACTTTGTTTTTATTTGATGCGAACCCTGTGAAGAATCCAAAAGATTATTTAGCGAAATAATTTGTCAATGAAATTGAATTTAACACACAAGAGTAATTAATATTAAACACCAAAGCGGGCCTTTTAAAATTGATATAAGAAAAGGTTATTTGCAAAGATAACTACCCACTCGTCAATGGTAATAAGCCTTAGTCAAATACAACTTTTCTTTTAACGTTAACTGATGAAAACAACATCTATTTCAAACTATCAAATACTGATCCTTCAAGCCTACTCATTAATTCAAGCAAACTACCAAAAACTGTTATTCAAACAATAAAGTAAAATGTTAACAAAACAGTACTGCTTACTTTACTACTTCTAATTGTATGAATTAGCCGGAAAACATGTTCTTGAATTTTTTCCGAGTAAATGTCTACACCGATATTAGATCTCTATATTTCTGTCCTTAATGGTAATGACTACTACACGTACCAATTACATTATAAAACCTCACAGATTTGCTTGTGACGTCAGTAGGTACTGGTAAAGTATTGAAAGGCGTTACAAATTTAAGAAAACAAAACTGATAATAAAACAGAGCTTTCAAATAGCCCGTATATTATTTTCTCTGGATTTGTGTTTTGCTGTCAGGAATTATAATGACAAGCACATAACGTGACTTACCTTCTTTACTAAACCTCTGTTAGTGACGTCACTATGCGCTGACACTTCAGCTGTGAGGCTTTGTATTACACGTGGCAAATTACCAACGATTAAAATTTGCAGTGATGACAACCGTCTAACGAGTCAAGTAAGCAATGCGTTCTCTATCACCAAACCGATAAGCTAACGGTGTGATCTCCCAACAAACCTCGCGAATCCCAATTTTCCAAGGCAAAAGACACAACAGCCGATCTAGTAATGGCGACGATCTGCTTTCGCCCTCCCCCCTTGCCCCCCAACAAAAAATCGTCCAGCATCTTCACCAACGTCGGTCGGCAGCGCGCCAAGCAGAACCACGGCCTGCTGAGCTCCACGTACCTCAGCTTCCGCGACCCGATCGACGACGACGTCGAGGAGATCGAGCTGGCCAACTTAAAACGCGACGCCGGCGTCGGCGACGGCCTGAGACGGTGCCGTAGAGTGTCGCACACGAACTCCCTCTGCAGGAACAAGGACGCCAAGGCGGTGATGACGCGCAGCCACTCCGACGGCAACCTGGACAAGAAGGGCTCGTCCACGTTGAGCCTCAACAGATACATGAAGGTCCTCAGCGGCAGCTGGAGGAACCTGCTGAATCGTAAGTCGATGACGCTTTTTACTATTAAGTTCGCTCGCACCGCTGCAGCACGAAACTAACCCCCGCTATGCCATGAATCATGACCACAACCTCATCATTGTGACTACCACTTTGACTAACTTGAACACGATAACAAACATATTTATTGGTTTATTACAAGTGTAAATGATTTGGGGCAAATCTTTTAGTCACAATTAAGATACAAAAAAAAAAAGAAATAAACAAATTTGGAAACATTTGAAATTAAATTGCTAATTGCTTAAATCTTAGAATACAAAAAATAGTGCGAATAATAAAAAACGACGCCCGAACAAGTTGTTTTCTCCCCACGAAAAGAACTAGCTGTGTACGCCCATGCAAGGTCAAACAACCAATGGGAACTAGACCAGAAGAGAACAATAAAAAGCTGTTTAAAATTCCGTTTAGATATTGTTTTTATTTACATCTACGCTGACCCCGACGGCATTCGTAGCATTTCGTGCTTACATAAACAAAACCAGTGAAATATGAGATGTCGCTGACAATCGCATCGGGTAAAAATTTGCGCTTTGCATACAGGAAATGCGCACCAGAAAAGGCTTACATGAGTTGGGAGGGTCGCGCAATATCGGTAGGTAAATGTATTATTTATATTAACTATTATGACACCGTAGCAACACTTGTAGCGTGAGTCACAGCAGCAATTGATGATGGGTAGAAAATTTACAATTACGATTTCGCGGACTATCCCCAATTATGTTTGCAACCTACAAGCCTAAAAGTTGCCTTCTATGGTCGTGTTGATATTCTATTGTTAGCGAGCGTTGTTAGAATATAGGTGGATACTTTTTAACTATTGATATTGTGGGAAACGACGGCACTGCATTGAATAAAACCGCAGTGTCTAGTAAAAAATCTCGACACAACTGTTAAATTTAAATAATTCATTTCTACATTCGTCAAGCGAGTTATTTTTACACCAAAGCCAGGTAAAAATATTTAACATCATGTTTATTCTACTTGACACTGATTTATTTACGGGTTTACGGATACAGATCGATTTGGACGATATTAGGTGACTCGTTAATATAAAACTTGTCTAGTTAATGCAGAGATAAATAGACCAGTCATTTAAATAAACAGTGTCCAGGTTCCTAAGCCACTTAACACATTTTCGGGTATTTTCGGAGACCGAAATGAAATATAGTTTTTGAAACAGACACCGCTTGCGTTTGGTCGATCGGTCTCTGGAACAACATGCCAGACACCATTACGATTATATGCAGGTCCTGTTCTCGAGAATCGTTTACGTCTTGTAACAATGTGAACGCATATAGGGTTACAATGGTCCTGGGTGGCTTTAATTAGAATTAGTCGTCCTGCATAGGGGGGATGATGCCGTAAAAGACCGTTTTAATTGTTGTTAGATGGGTGTTAAACTTTTAGAATTAAGGGTTAGCGCAGTAACCCCTCCTGGATGAGGTTCTATTTACTAATACAGTCAACGCGTTAGGAAGTTTAATTATATTAGGGATTTCCACAAAGAAATTTTGATACCGGGTGGGCTATTTTAGTGATGGAATCTAAGAAGCTAGAAAGATAAACGATTAAATTTTTGCTTTAGACCATTCTATTATTAAGTTCATGGCGTCGTCTCTAATTGTTTCTATCGTCGAGATATGTGAAAAAAAAACATAACGGAATTCGAGGTCCAAAATTTCCAGGAAAACTGATTCCAATAAATACAAAAAAATCTTAAAAATTCTATGAAATAAAGCGAAATAATGTTCTTCGAAACATATGACAAATATTATTTATTCAAAAACACATGATGATGTACTTAAATTTTAAATAATGTTATCCTTCAAAGCAGATATTTCAAATCATTTTTGCGAGGCACCATTTATGTAAAATCCGCCTCAAAATATAACAAAATACCTCAGAACAGCTTTGAAATACATTCAAATTTCATAAAAACTCATCGGGAACCATATAATCTTTCAGAAAACACCAATTCTTGTATAAAATATGTCAGGATACATCAATATAGTATGTATGCATCGAAATGAATTCAAAAACCATAAAAATTAGCTTTAGAGTCCTTCAAAAAGTACCAAAATTTATAAAATAATGTCGAAACAAAGAATCAAAACAGTTTTAGAGTACAAGATATGTCAAACCTGCGTAGACTTCATAAAAATTATTTTTTTTTACGGATTTTTGATGAATTTTGAAGCTCCTTTGATGCATGATGATACTTTTAATATCACCACTGATAAAGACAACATGCAAAAGCAGCCACGATATATATGATCTTACATTTCTGCTTTTTACTTTATGATCACTAGGACTTTAGCTGATAAAAATTCTAATATTATTGGAATGACCAAGAGAGTGTTTCTCAAGCATCAGAAGGATCAGACATGGAATCTATTTTGTTGAAATTTGTTTAAAAAAAACACTAAATGTTTTTTAGTTAGAAAGAATAAATTTTGTTTCTTCTTATTGTTTCAAATGTTATTTACCTTTTGTTAATTCTTCTTTGAGCTCTAGTAATTTGAGATTTGATGACATACCGATTCAGAATATATAAATTTTGTTTAAATATTATTTTCACAGCCTTTGAACAAAATATCTACGGAAAAATATTTTAATAATTAATAATTAAGTATTTTTTCGAATGTTTTTATTTCGAGTTTCTCCAATTTTTAGTAGACAATTCAAAATGATGCCCATAAAAAAAGAAAGTTGACTTTTTGCGGAATTTTCCCCACGCGTCACTGCTCAAACAAGAGTTTTCAACTCGGTTTTCGATACATTTCGGTACGTGGTGCGGCTTAATACAATCACGGAGCAACGAAACGGAGAAAATCCTCGCCCGAACGACGGTTTCCTTAAAAAATGATATAGGGATGTTTTCCGGTGCCGCCCCGACGTCCGGGACCCGGATAAAAAATGATCCGGGCCGCCTCAGATGCGATATTAAGCCGGGAAAACGTCCAAGCCCGCCAGGAATGCTGTTGGCACTTCATTACGGACCAACTGAACAAGTTAATAGAAACATTCCGAAATAAATAAACCGCACACATCCGAGGAGGCGAGGGCCCATGTTCTCGCTGAAGACGGTCCCGATCGATCCGAAACGCCTGGAGAGCGTAAGAATAGTTTTTTGTACATGCCCCTACAGGTAGCTTCAGCCGATTTGATTTGTCAAATGCCTATGTATTCAGTATTACTGTGGTTTGCGTGGTGCTCTTATCACTGTGGATTATTGTTTACATCTGGCTTACAAGTGTTCAAGATGTCGAGGTCGCAGCGTCCACTTCATATTGTTTCATACGTTAGGTCTTGGTTGCGATATCGCAAGCGCAGATACTGGTTGTGTTATTCCTCGCCCCAAGCGACAAGTTCCAGTGCAAGCAGACGCATGTCTTCCTATTAGTGCTATTGGGATAGACTAGACATTTAGTCCCAAAGAGTATATAATCTGTTATATTTAAAACGCGCATTGAAGCGCACTATACGTTTCGGCGGGACAGATTTACGTTCCCGGCCGTCCCACAGTAAACATGTCAATTCGGATAGTTGTGTCCATTGTCATCCGGGCCCTCTCTCTCCGCGATCTAGCGCTCGGTGCATTATGGATCTGCATTGCAGGCTACCCCGAACAATAGAATGTCGTACCGAGGAATGGCTACGTTGCCGCCGCTGTAGTCATATTAGTTCTAGGACCTGTCGGGGAGAAGAGGTCGAAAGTAATAAATATATGTCAGGACCGGCGTGTGTTGCTGTTCCGCGAATAGAGGACGTCAGTGAACCGTAACGCTTTATTTCTCGTAATTTTTTGTCAATCTTCGTGCTCTGTTGGTTAATTTTATTTCCCAGAAGTACAAAACAATATTTATTTACAATAAATGGGTCAAACTGTCCGAAATATGAACTGTGGGAAACGCTAACGGTGGGATGTGGGGTACAAACGAAAAATAAATTTCCTTTCCTCCCTCTCAAAGGGGAGTCCTTGCTATCGGAGAATTTAGGTCCGTTCCCCTACCCATCAAACTGTCAAATAATTACCGGTCAGTCCCACGGAATCAATTCCGTTCGGGCGTATCGGACGAGTCTGTTTCTAATTTATTTGTTTCCTAGTTTCCGTCTCTTCCAGATCTTTCTCTTATCTTCCCTTCGCCGAATCGACCGAAAGATTGAGTTTCCGGTCCTCGAACTCGAGACTAACGGAAAGTTTCGTATCGCCTTATATGAATTATACGGACCAGTGGTGGTTCGCGATTAAGGACCCCTCGGAATATGAATTGTTTGTGTAAAAACTCCTTATGCTCCCAGTTTGTGTGTTTAATCTAAATTGGTAATTAAAATTTATCGTCTTACACAAATACACAATAAAGAAACCATATATTCGTGGTGATAAACAGCGCATATGCGACCAATTTTTTTTTATAATCCATTTATTTTAACGTCTCTTCCTTGCCTATTCGTCGTTCGACATCTGCAGCGCCTAAAACACATTCCTAACCGGTGGCGACAAAAATAGCCCGGTCAAAATAGACATTTCAAATAACGAAAGTTCCGACAGAGCTAAATTTTGGTGGAGACCTTGGGTACACCATTAGAAATAAAGTGTCAAAAGTCCCCACCGATCCCATGTGTGCTAAAAAAGTTATTCAAGTTCAAAAGTCAAATTTGAGGTTTTTTGGTAACGGTACGTTTTATCAAAAAAGTAGCCCAGACAAAAATTATAGATTGAAAATTATCTACAAAAATGGTCCTTATACTTAGATCCACCATTCCTGAGATATCGCGATTCTAAAAGTTCTACACGATATGCACACATTTCCACACCACCTGTGAGGTATTGTACTTTGACGCGTTTTTTTTTACGTGGTTTCCCCGATAGGCCTACTCCACGAACTGTTATGACGGAATTTTCAAGGACAATAACTCTTTTAACTGTATGATGATTATTGATATTGATATTGGTTATTGACTTTAACTGTAGTTCTGATTTATTTTGATATTTCAATCTGATTCATACTCTTCGTCGACTTCAACAGTCATGTCTTCTTCTTCCTCTTCTTCTTGCTGGATGTTCATAAATTGTTCAAATGAAGATGAATCAGCTGTTTCTTCATCGAAATCACATGAATATTCGTCTGTTGTATTCAACTGGACATTTGAGCAAGACTGGCTTTGGCAATTAGTACACGCTGGAGAACACAGTAACCCTACTCTTCTACAGCCACATTTAGCACTACAACCTTTTTTGCAATTGCAAAAAATAGTGTTTAGGAGTTTTCCGGAGCAGGTGGAAGTAGTTTGAATCGGTTCCAAAGTATTATCTGTTAATTTCCAACCCCAGTCTTCTGGGTTCAGTTAATTGCCTAGCCATGTCTGAACTTGATAGTATACTCGATACAAGTGTTGATTAGCAGAAGCCGATGTTGGAGGAAGACAAGATAGTTGTACCCCTTTTGAACATTGCTGATGTAGTGATGTATCAACTGGAGTCCTTGCAGTGAGTAGTATTAATAAGTCAACATCTTCACCAACTACAATAGTTGTATTTGTTGCATTGTTCTATTGCTGTTTCAATTATAAGGACATAACTTGACTAAGGGACCTGAGGTTCTTTTGAGTATATATTCTCAGAATAGTATAGTTTATACATACAAGAGACACAAATAGGTATTTTTACCTACATTAAGTGCCTGACTATGTATATACGTGGCATATATGTGTGCATATTACTACATATCACGTAGAACGTGACTCCTTCAACTTAGAATCGCGATATCTCAGGAATGGTGGTTCTTAGAAAAAAAAGTATAAGGACCATCTTTGTAGATAATTTTCAGATCTATAACTTTTGTCAGAACTACTTTTTTGATAAAACTTACCGTTTTCGAAAAAAATCCAAAAAACCTCAAATTTTGACTTTTGACCCCGAATAACTTTTTTTAACACACATGGGATCGATGGGGACTTTTGACACTTTATTTCTAATGGTGTACCCAAGGTCTCCACCAAAATTTAGCTCTGTCGGAATTTTCGTTATTTGACCACTATTTTTATGACTAATTTGACCGGACTAAAAACGCGAGCCTGAAGCGTCAGTGACGTCACCCGAGATTATCCCGGCGTCGTGTACACGACTTCCCCGTTTCAGTGCTAAGCCGAATTTGGCGTAGCTCCCTCGTCGCGCTTCCGCTCCTGACGGAAATCGGCGCCCGCTGTTGGCGTAGGTCCAAGATTCGCAGAAGTCGCGAGATAAATCAGAGCGAGTCGAGGAGAAAGTCTCGGGTGGTGTTTTCGCGCTCGGACGTGTGGGAAATTTACTGCCTGTGTCTGTGAGCGGCGGCGATCATTAAATAAATTCATTTGTTTCCGTATGGATGCGCGTTTCTTGCGCAACGCCCGCTATGATTCATCTGTGCGAAGGTACGCTTCTCCACGTATGTGACGATCCTCTGGGTGGTTTACAGAGTTTGCGGGCCACGGGAAGTGGTTTGATTAATGCGCTGCAATTTTTTAATTCTATTTAATTTGTTTAGAGTATGTTTTCCACCAAAATCACTCCGATCGGACTGCCCCTGCGCCCAGCGTGCTTTTCCCTTTACGAGAAACCTTTAAGGGTCGAAATTGGCACATTCCGTACAATATACCAGCGTCACATTTTCAGCGAATGTATTGTAACTTTTCGAGATTCTCTCTGTAATTTCGGCCGACACTCGTCGGCTTCTGTACCGGTTACAGTATCCAGAACGTGACTTTTGAAAAAGGGGACGAGACGCGACGGGCCTAAAAAGCCTAACGGGTTTTTCCGTTACATTTTTGAACACGAACACCGTAATTACCGAGTTGGTTCTCACATGCAGAATACGCTCAAGCTTATTGAGATTGCAGGAAATAATAATTATACTTAAGCGCATTTTTCACTCGCCCATTTTTTTTTTCTCCCGCTTTCGGGTTGCTGACACGAACGACGCTAATAACAGTTTTTGCCCGTCGAAATTATACGGCGTTTGATGGGATAAATAATAGATGTCATAATCTGCGGTAGAAGAACTTCGTCGAGTCTCGAGTTCCCTTACACTCGCCATGGTTGTTATTCCGTCAAATTGACCGTATGATCACGAGAAAAGGAGAGATTTCTCGATTTCTGAAGTTCGAATGTCTCGCTCAATGAAAGACCGTTTGTTATATTTAATATTTAACTTTTTTTTAAAGTTACGGTAAAAGTATTATTGGCCGTTGTCGGTACTGTCGTTTTAATATACATAATAATACATAACAGAATTACTCATTTCCGATTATTTCAATAGAAATGTCCACGTGTATTTGACATCATCTTTGTAGTTTACTTTTAAGCTCTGCTGCGTAGATTACTATTTGTTACGAACGACACAAAAAGCATTTCACAACTCTGCATCGCCATATTTTTTTCCCGGACGATTAATTTAAATGTCTGTTTGCCCCCCTGCGGCAACGAAATGGTAACTAAACATGGAAAAAAGGAAGAAAGAGCGACTTCCACTCAATTACCCAAGAACCAACGTTTTCCTTGAGTGGGCAATTAAGTTTGTTCTTTTAATTTTAAACGATCACGTCTCGGGCGTATATTTTTCAAATTTTCCGGTTAATTCGGCTTAAGTATTAAAAACCGGAGTAATCGCCTACGTCCCTAATAGCAGGAGATGAGCGCAGTCTTTTGAGAGCGGGCCAAATTGGCATAATTACGTCCTAATGACGGGGTAAAGTAGTCTTTTCGTTCTGTTGACATTCACGAGGAATATTTACGTAGGGGGGAAGGGGAAAGGGATAGATTTAATGGCGTACTCGAGCTAATATACAGATTGTGATAAAGTGTACATCCCTTTTTTTATAATAAGAAGGAAAGGAATCTACGTTCAATTTGTTATTTAAATTAGTTTTTGTTTTTTTTTTTTTCAAGGGAATCAGTTTTTTTATAATAATATAATGTTTCTTTTTTTTTCAGGTAAGTTACCCAAGCCGACTAAAACCGATGAAGTAGGTGCGCTGTGAGTAAATATTATTTAGTTTTTATTGCATTTTCACGAATAATTAATAACGAAGCCACACAAAAAAAGTCCAAAACCCAAGCGAGTATATTATCATTTCCGAAGAAATTCGATACGGTAAACACGATCCTGTAGTCAAAATTCATGACTTGTTTATGAATTTCATAGAAAAGTGAAATTTGTGGATGTAAACGTCCAAATATGGGTCATTTTTTCTTAAATAGTATCCAAAAATATCAATTTTGTATTATTTTGACGCGTTGACACGATACCATTGGTAAACTGTACCCACTGATTTTTTCCTAAATTGTGTCCAAAATATCATTTTCGTAGTATATTTTTTTTAAATTATAACTTCCCTTTCTGCTTTGCCTTTATATTATATTTTTCCGGCTGATTATAATATATACAAACACATTATAAAAATTTCTCTCCCCGCCTATGGTTTCTGAAGTCAAAGATGAACGATGTGTATCGCTCCGCAGCAATAATTACTTTAATATTTACGAAAAAAAAACAGTACCTGCTTTTTTCCTCACTTTAACGGGAATCAATTTAAATTACCCCTCAATAAAAATGTCGCTTCTCACAATAACAATCTCGCATCACCGCAAAGTCCACACCATTATTTACCTGTCACCGCGTGAGTAATGGCGTTAGCGTTATTTTTTGAATAAACCAACGCACCTTTTGTCTCTGGTCCTCATTATCCACGCACGCATTCCTTCCCGGACAATTAACCGCCTTGGTTCGGGCGAGTCGGATGTCCGCAAGCCTACCAGGTCTTTTTTTGGCTCAAATATTGTGATATTTTGGTACATTTTCGCTGTCTCCTTTTTTTCGGTGGGAATCAAAATAGCGTTCCATTAAATTATTGGAGATATATAACTTATTACGAGCAAGCGGGCGATTATAGGCGAGCGGTTCACCCCTAAAAAGATGCTTCTAAAAGATGGTAACCGACTAAATTTTTAAAACAAAAACCTACAGCATGAAACTTTTTTTATTTTATAATGTATATTTTTCTGATAATTTACATATTTTTTATATTTTTCGGCGTGGTCAGTCAATTGTTATAAACAAAAAAGTTGTAAAAAAAATTACTCGCCGAATGGCTTTGAAAACAGAAAATACTTCGTTTCCGAAATGTTTGAACAAATGGTGTGAATAGAAATAGGCAACCAGTAATACATTTTTATAGATTTTATTACATAGTTTGTCTACATATGAATAAATGCACAAATAATAGATTTTCCCCCATTCTAACGCAGATTTTCTATAAAATGGACTTAGTTTGAAACTTAAGCAACATTTTGGTGTAAAGAAAGTAAAATACGATGCCGCTAAGCGGCGAATTACAAATTTCTTAACAACCAAAAGTAATTCGAGGTTCAAACAAAGTCCATTTTATAGCAAATGGGCGTTAGAATGGTGGAAAGTCTATTATTTGTGTATTAATTCATTTTTAGACAGACTGTGTAATAAAATCTATAAAAAAGTATTGCTTGTTGTCTATTTGCTATTAGACGAGAAGTTCACCCCTAAAAAAAGGTATGAACCGACTAAATTTTTAAAACCTACAGCATGAAACGTTTTTATTGTATTTTTCTGATAATTTACATATTTTTTTATATTTTTCGGCGTGGTCAGTCAATTGTTATAAACAAAAAAGTTGTAAGAAAAAATTACTCACCGAATGGCTTTGAAAGTGTTTATTTTGGTCCATTTTACGATAAAAAACTGTTTTCAAAGCCATTTGGCGAGTAATTTTTTTTTACAACTTTTTTGTTTAAAACAATTGACTGACCACGCCGAAAAATATAAAAAAAATATGTAAATTATCAGAAAAATACACTTTATAAAATAAAAAAAGTTTCATGCTGTAGGTTTTAGTTTTAAAAAACTAGTCGGTTCATGCCTTTTTTTAGGGGTGAACCGCTCACCTATTAAGATTATAAAAATGGATATCTGTCCCGGAAAACCAAGGTATCTCATTTTTTTCTCGCCGCGCAGCGATTGTCTTATCGCAGAAAATGTCCCTGTTGTAATAAAGTGATGAATGGTCCTGAATTAATAAGTGGTTATTTCTAAAAAAAAATTAATGAAGTTATTTGGAATTTTTGAAGTTATACTTGTGTTATAAAGTTATTTAATAATGTATAAAAATGCCATTGTACATCAGTTCAAAAATGGTAGACATCCATTTTATGTAAGGACTTGCCAATGGTAGTGGTCTTGACGCTCGTCAGAAATTTCTTTCAGTGGTGAAAAATATTGCAAGGTTATTGCAAATAATAAAATTAAAACTAAACGTAAAACTGTTGCTGTTTCCTCTGTTGCTCCACTTCCGCGTATGCCGAACCCTGTACTTGGCTTTGCGTACACACACGCCCCAAAAAAGTGTATATTTTCACTGTCGTGTATATTTGTCTTTAATTATAGTGTATCCCCGTCTTTTCACACAAACAAGCGCTTTTTTCAAGTTCCCGCCACGCCGTAGTTTGACACAAACTTTGAAGCGCTCAAATCCCAATAGGGTTGTTGACTATAAAAACAAACCATATACAAATTGTTGTTGATACAAAGATTTTATATAAAAGAACTGCCTGTATAGTAAAATTTTAAATATATCACAAATTAGTGGTAGAAATCATTTATGAATTTTTGTGTTACTTAAAAACTAGTCTGACGTCATAAGGGGCAATTTAACAAGAAGCTAGTAGCGATCCTATTGCATAATTTTGAAGAAGAAGAAAATATATCAAAATTGTCCATCAAACCTTGTTGTTCTGTTTTCTGTTCTTTAAACAAAAGTGACAGTAGTGACACTAGTGACATCAGTCTATCAATTAAGAGTATTTGTGATAGTTATTATTAATTTCCTGATTGTAATGGATTCAACAAAATTTAACTGATGTTTTGTTCCACATTCCATATTCCACATAGCCCATTGCATTATGTCCATAAGACTCCCGAACTGCACTATAATTTTCCGTAAATAAGTACGTATTTATATTTATTATTTATATTATAAATAAACACAATAAAATCATTCATTAAATATGTTAATCCTTACCTGACTGCTTTTATACCTCTGATTTCGCCAATATTAAAACGGTCGTCTCTTTTTAAAAATTCAATTCATGATCATAAAAATATCAATTTTCGGTCAAATTTGCGAAGTAGTTTTCACAAATTCCGTTTCACACATTCTGCTTTAATTCTAAGGGAAGGAAGATATTAAATGATTATTTTTATAAATAATAATTTTATTTAATAAAGGAATTCGAAGATTAAGGAAGATAACTCGTAGACTTGAAAATATTTTATGCGGCAATGTCACTGACAGACTGACACTACTGACAGTGTTGACAGAGCATCTTCTTCCGCCAATTTTTTCCTTTACGCAATCATCTACACATAATTTCACTACAAGGTGCCCCTTATGACGTCACAGCCGTTTTGAAATATTATAAAAAAATCAGTTTTAAATAATTATTTTAAAACTGTTCCGACGCATTTCTCAATCTTTAATTGTGCATACACACTAATTAGTACGTGTAGAATTATATTATCTACTTTTTGAAATTTGGTCAACAACCCTATTACGCCCGAACACTTGTTCTGTGTTAATCGCCCGTTTCCCATTTACGAGCCGAAACAACAAACCTCGGTTGTAACACGCCGAGGTTTTTGGGCCGTAAAGAAATTAATTTCAAAATAAATACAGTTAACGAGCAAGAGAATTCCACCGACATGTGGCGAACACCGTGCGGTCTATTTTTTTTTTTTTAAATAAATATATTAGCACATCGGCGCTAGCAAGTGTCGAGCCGGGAATTAGGTTTATTTTTAAACGGTTTTTAATCGTCGTGCTTGGAAGACTAATCCCTGAGAACGTGGGGTCGGGTCGTCGGGTTAAAACCGCCATTAAATCGCTATTAGATTTATCAGCAAGGTTCCAGAAATTATTCCGAGACAAAAAATGTACTGGATCAATGAATTTCTTTTAGTTGAATATTTAAGGATAATCAAAAACTTACCCGCATCCGCCGAAAGAGGCGACAGCCTCTTGGAGACTTCAACCTGGTTAATTTGTAACGCATGCAATTTCATTAAAACGAACCCTTTGCCGTAAAACGAAATTAGTTCCCCGCCTAAGCACCGTTCGAATAAGAAAAACCATTATGCAAATCCGATCGGGTCATTTTCATTCATCATTAATAACCCTAAGTCAATGTCGCGCGCGAGCTTTCCCAAATTGTAAAATCGACGGTAGGCGATCGATCATCGACACAAAACCCGATAACCATCGATCATAGTCAAGAAGTGTGAACAAATTCAACATGCCGAGCTTAAGGATGAAAATTTTCTTCTCGTACGAAGCTATGTCGGTATTGTAACAGATGGTGAAGAACAATTCCTTCAGTTGAGTACATTTATTTAATAATTTTCAATTCGAATTTTGTTTTAAAACATACGTAACGATTTTATATTGACAAGAGAAACACACAATGGTATTTACCAAAAATCTAAGCTCTTGTCGATAGTTTAGTATTAGTAGAACGTGCTGGTTTACGAACTATTTCTACCCCTCCGAACGAGCTGTCGAACGGCCTTAGTTACCTACCGAAAGGCCCAAATTATTCGATAATTCAGCGGCAACTTCAAACTCCGCCCCTGTACAGTTAAACTTCAAACTCGAGAGAGATAACGGCTCCGGCTATTGAATTCACAGTCGCAGTCGGAGTTTAATGTTTTGTAAACGATTTGATTAAACGTACAGTCACTACATTATAACGGGTATTAGGGCACGGGTGGGTGACTTGGCATGAAGTGAAAAGTCCTTAGACCACGAATAAAACGTTCTTTTTTGTTAATAAGAAACGCAAAGCAAAAGAGGTTGAACAACAGTGGCATAAAATAAACGACAAAATGAAACAAGAACAGGAAATTTGTTTCAAAACGACCAATGACACAATTTGAAAGAACCGAGCGTTGGCT